ACTTGTGTTAGGTTGGGGGCCCCTAGCTACGAAAAGGCCTAGACTGATGTGCCTCAAGTTCAGGCTACATTGGGTGTCAACATAATGCAAACTCAATTTCTTTATTAATGCATGTAACATCTTAAAAATAAGATAATTTTATACTTACAGAAGCCAATGTAGTGGCACAGCTATCGTCGTACTACAAATATTCGCGTTTAAATTAATGAAGCGTTGTTTTTATCCAACATACAATACATCGCCATCGAAGTCCATTCACAGAGTAAAGGTTGCATATCGTTGTACAATCTGAAACTGATTTTTCTATTAAAGCCAATAATGCTTCCTGGTATGTAAATGTTAGTTATTAGTTTATTATGTATCGGACAAAAAGATATCAACGAAAACAGAAAGTCCATAACAGTTTTCATTGTCTATCCATTGTGTCTATTATTCTCTTAGAAGTTCAAAAACAAATTTCACAGGACTAAACATTAACATTAGATATTATTAATAGATTTTATGAAATTATTGTAAAACACGTGAACATGAAGGCATTAAAGTATATCTATGTAAATCCGTCATGTAAGTTACAGAGGGATAAGCAAAGTTTCGCGCAACAGTAGGCCCACATATAATTACTTAAGTTTGACATGAAATATTGATTAGCACATTTCTGCTTTGTAAAAATGTATTGAATGTAAGAAACCACTGTAAAAGACTCCTTTTTAAGATAAGACAATCCTTTAAAGGTAGTAAAAGCACCATTTTAGCCTCTGCATCACCTAGGTCAAATTGTAACGTATTTCAAACGTATGGTAGAATTAACAAGGGGTGTTCTAGAATCAGAATTAATTTATTTTTTGGTCATGATGGACCACTAATAATCCACCATCAGAATAATTTGTCAATTCAAATCAACATTGGTCTTGTGATCTTACAGGGAAAAGATGGGCTTCTGATATCCAATATTCAAGACAATATAAACATATTACCATTAGTACACGAATATATACGTTCGATATATAGTTCGATATATACGGCCTTGGTATTATGTTCAGTTGTCGTTAAAATGAGAGTTTGGATGTCGGTATTATACGCTTTTGACACTTGCGTTTACAGAAAAATTATGGAAATTGATAAACATCGCAGCTAACATCACCCCAGTTGAATTGCAGCCCCATTGGATCACTGTGGTGTTTCCTATTTATTTATCTGCTTAGGGAGTCACGCAGGCTAACAAGAAGTCGGCTATAATTATGCCTCATTGATTTGGTCCATTCCTTTCAAACTTTCGCTTCTTATCTATATAATAAAAGTCTTATTTTTATAGTAAAAATAAATGTGATACGAATTGAACTGCAACCCCGTCTCAAGCCATTGAAAACGTTACTTGATAATCGAGATTATGTAGGTGGAGTTAACGCCTGTCAATCAAACGGTCGGCCAAGGAGAAGATACATTTGACTACCATTTCTAGTAAAATATTACAACGATGATAACTTTGTTCAGAATAAAGTAATTTGACTGAAATTTTCAATATATTCTTCTTTCATTGTCTACTTTTGAACTGTTATAGGAAGAATGGCCAACTCTCTATAAAAATATCCCATAATGTATCTTTGACAAATTCTCCCGAGCAGAGTTGTCTTTGCAGTTCACACGAGCGAAAGGGGTTTCACGGTAGACTAGAGCAGATTTATTGTTTAGAATCGTGGAATGGGCCTGGTAATTCTTTTGCAGGGACTAATTTTAAAATTTAAAAAAAAGAAATAACGAATCCTGAAAAATGATGAAAAAAATGAGCCTAATATCGAACGACTCATTAGTAGGAATATTTAATGTTCATCATTTTTTCGGGAATCAATATTTTTTTGTTTTTGAATGTAATAGATTAAAATTTAAAACATTTACCCAGAACTACATAATTATTTTCCAGCATGGTCGTTATTTTTCTCCACTCTCGTCGGTGCAAAACCATATATAAATACGGTTATATTGGACCACTTTCTGGATGAGTAGGAAACCGCGTTTTCGGCCGTCTAATAAAGGTAATTTGTAACTTGCAACTAGAACTCCTAAGGAGTACTAACGTGTTTCAGTATGTCACGTCGGGCAATCTGAGATTATTTTTTGTTCTATCCGCAAAGCACTTCCTGTTTGTCAAAAATGTCCAAATTTATATTTTATATTTAGTTCCACGGTGGCCAACTTCGCCTACGTTGGTAGAACTTTTGCACCATGCACAGTTTGGGCTGCAACTTCTGACTAAAAAAAAAATAAATAACTAGATCTGCCAGGCAGATATGAAAGCTTTCATATTCACGGTCACATCCTGTCAAATGACATGGGTTATATAAAGAATATCAAAACGGAAAAAGAATTATTTAAATCGGCAAAAAACTCGCTGAGTTACAACGACAAACATTTCAACCGGGAAAAATTTGTCGTTATTTGTTAAGAATTAAATCGGTCCAAAACTGCCCGGGTTATAACGACCAGGCATCACTTCCCATCAGATGTTATAGATTTTGTCAACAATCTTAAAGAGATTTGAATTATTAACTAGGTTGTCAGGGTAAACATTTCAACGCCCATTAACGTGGATTTTTCACTTTTTTCATATTCAGTACAAAATGGTGACCCCCAGTTAACCTTAGTCAATATTCTGCTCCGAATGTTTAGCGGCATTCCTTCAAGGATTCAGAAAATGTAAATCCGATGTCTGTTAGTAAAATATCGCAGAAGGCTCGGGAATTTTTCACGTTTCAAGACAAACTCCATATTATGTGTACACATCAGTAATTTCTTAAGGTCATCTAACCTACTATTTTGTCGACTTTTTTGAAAACTTTGATCCTTAATTTCTCAAAGTGGTCATGTTGGTTTTACTTCAGGGATGAGATGTCAATGATGTAATATTCGGATTTCGAAAATCGGAAATAGCAAATTAAAAGTAAATGTTGCAAAGTACTCAAAGGAAAAATAATTAGTAAAATAGATCAAAAAGTCACAAAAGTACAGCTATGTGTGTCATTTTTTCATTAGTAAATTTCGGTGATTTCGGATTCGTAAAACGTTTTGAAAATATCTTGATTACAAAGCCATCAACCATTCTTGGAAGGAGGCTAACGAGAAATGTATTAATTTCGGAAATCTGAAACGAATTTACGAAATGACCGCCTATTCCAAGTATTTCCAAGTCGTTAATGCGGATTTTTCACTCATAAATAACTTTGTAGGAACGAAAAACGTTAAAGCGGAATTTCGAAATTTTGAATTTTTCAAACACCAAAAATTCGACAATGAATCCGCCTATCCAGAAATGTATTAATTTCAGAAATAGGAGACGAATTCAAACTACGACTTATTGTGTTTATTTACAAGCCCGTTAATGTAGATTTTTGCTATATTTCATATTCAATTCAAAATGGTGACCATCAGTTGACCTAAATCAAAATTCTGCTCTGAACGTTTTTTAGACATTCCTTCAAGGATTCAGAAAATATAACTCCCATGTCTGTACTGTAAGTAAATTATCGCAAAAGCCTTAGGGATTTTTCACATTTAAAGATGGTGGCACTTCCGGTTCGATCAAAAGACTTCATAATTTGTGTACGCATCAGTAATTTCTTAGCTAGTACAGAAAAAAAATCAAGGCAATCTGACCTAAATTTTGTCGATTTGTTTTAAAACTTTGACCCTTATCCTTAATTGTTCCAAGGGAAGATTATTTAGAAAGTTTCTAATGACATATTTCAAGTCGCATCAGTAGGATGACTCAATTTATCGTTTGCCATTGACATTTTATTAATTTCAAAGTCTTATACTATTTTTAAAAAAACCACTTTAAACGTCACTTTAAAAAATCTTAGTCAAATATCAAACTTCTAAACGTGCCACGATCGATTGCGAATTGTGAATGCTTTCCCAAAATATAACGATATTGAAAATTGAATAAAATTTGTAGCACGAGTGGGATTTTAAAGATTGGTGGCAATATTTTAAAATAAGGAAAAATTTAAGAAGTTAAAAAGGGGGAGATAATTGGAAAAATTATGTTGACATTTTTGCCTTAATCTACCCATTTGTAATGTATTCTGAAATTTTCAAGCCGAAATCTTCAAAAATAAAAAAGTTACGCTCAGAATTTTCACTCTTTTTACTTTTGAGCTTAAAATTAGGCCATACGCGTGCGTCGTAGAGGCCACAATGCCCCCCGACATAAAAACTGAGAAATACGAACAGCTACAAATTGGTGAAAACTGCATTCAAATTGGTTGGAAAACAAAAAAGTTTCCTTTGATGTCTAATATTAGTCTATTTTCGTCGATGACGTCACTCCCTGTTATCGTTTTTAAAGTTTTAAACTAATTAGCTTTCGGATAGTATAGAGTTTAATTTTAATTCTGTAGAATATGTACTTTTTCATAACACGCGATGGAAAAAAAAAATAATAATAATCCGAACAAAAACAGTATAAAAAATAATAATCCGAACAAGAACAATAGTTTTTATACTATGCAGTAAAAATACTAATGAAGTGGGCCTATTCATAATATACAGTCTTTATATTCAGCTACCACAACTGTCCCTAGGAATATGACCAAATTTCATTAGATTCCAGATTTAATATACAGAAACTAACAAAAAAACAAAGTGATTTTTATTTAGTAATTTATTTGTAAATGGAGGCGTAACTTGATCAGAACGTAAACAATAAATTTTGTTTCATTTATATACATACGATATGAACTAATAAATATTTAGGTTTACTAAATACAAACCTAAATAAATTTTGGATTTGAAAAATAGAAATAAATAAACTCGTTATAATAAGATGAAAGCACACATAAATTATTAAATACATATAACATACGTAAAGGGTCTGGAACATTATATGGCAAGCTTAATAGCAACATTAATCTCATACATGTACATTGAAGAATATATTGACGGTCACCTACTTTGGGTAAAGTTAATTTCATAGATTAACATGTTATATCTTATACTCCCTTTGATTGTTAAAATGTTTTTTGATAAAACAGCAGTTTTCTATTGTAAAACTAACATTTGAAAAACATACATACGAGATTCTGAAGTAAATGATATTGTTGTCAAATGTACAATAAAAAAAAATAATTTCATTTACTCTGCCAATAGAATAAGTTATTACAATAAATGACACTGATATATCAAAATGGTTACAGTAATTTGGAACTAGAATGTATAAGTTATACAATAAATGACACTGATATATCAAAATGGTTACAGTCATTTGGAACTAGAATGTATAAGTTATACAATAAATGACACTGATATATCAAAATGGCTACAGTTATTTGGAACTAGAATGTATAAATGACTTCCACCTCACTGATTTGGAATGTAAAATAAAACAATATCTCCAGCACTTTAATTATTATCTAATAATATAATAAAACTTATATTTAAACAATATATAAATAAATATTTAGGTTAATAACCGGCGGAAATAAGTTGGTCCCTGACATAACAAACTTGACTTGTATTATTGGAGGGCTGCACTTGATCATTGTCATATATTCCCAACACAAAGCCTGAAAAGAGAATTAAAATGAATAAATATTTATGATTGACGAGAAAGCAATATGGCAAACCGTTCTACTTATAAACAGGAATCCTTCCTAAGTTCCTTCTGAACGGGTTTAAAAGTGAACACGCTGTTTAGAAGTAACACCATATTCACCATTTTTATACGATTTATTCAATACAACCATGAGATAAATACACGACCATTATTTACATTAATCAGGTAACTTTAGTGTTGGTTATAAGAAGGGTCTTGTGGGGGGTGGGAGATAGCCATAACGTCATTTATTCTAATGTCCAGTGTCATGCCTGACAATGTTCAGCCTGACAATTGACGCTGTAAGTCCTGACAAGTTCGCCCTGACAACCTGACAACCCGCCATGCCTGACGGATTGCTTAGGCTCAACTACGTTATGATCATACAAAAACGTCAAGGGGAGACGGTTCTACCAGGATGGTCGGTAGCGCCGTCATAATTCCTTTTGTCAGGCCAGCTTTAAGAGGTCCTTACCCTAGGCTGACGTAGAGCTATCTGCCGACATCGACGACAGGACGTCCTTTTATAGGCTGCAAGCAGATCTATTGACCAATTACAGGCTCGCATTCTGCCTGACAAGGACTACGTTTTCCTGACAAGTAAACGTTTTACAATAATATGAAAATTAATAAAGATGTTAATAATTAATCATTGCATTACATGTAAGTAACCTATTCTGAATCTAAAATCAAAGTAATGTACAATTAGACCAGCGCAAATACATTAATGAAGAAACACCTAGCCCATGAATCGTGCGTAAGTCTTAGCTTACAGCGACGAGGTCCTAAAGAATTGGAACTACCTAAGAACAGCAAGTAGGCCTACTTCAAAATACTTAATGGATCTAATATAATAATGAGATGTACAAAGTAAGTAACAAAAGTAACAAGCATTGTAAGGTCATGAATTTATTATAATACACCATTAAATTAACGTGAGAATGATCATGTTACTATCACTAACTATCCCTAGCAACCATATTACTACGCCCGTCTCGTCTGACTCGAATGCACACAGCATTCCACGCTAACAATACATTCATATGTGGATATTATTTGAAGTGCTATCGTCCCCTTATATCCAGTCGCATAGTAATACATCATGACATGCCTTACAAATCCGGCTCTAAGTACCGATGTTCTATAATCTAAGATACGACTTGCTGTCGTCAACGTAAGTAGGCTACATTAGGCAAAACAAAATTGTAAACAATGAGAGCGTACGGCTCGTTCTATTTATAGACACAATTAAACCTTTCAACAATGGCAAAGGCAACACTAATATCGTAATAATACCAACGATAAATACTTAACAAATGCAATAATAAAACAATGTGAAGATGTAACGATTGATTATTAACATATGGTACACGGCATTACCAGTGATCAGTGATAATGAAATAATAACAATAATTAAATCTCCCCCCCCCCCTTATATATAACACTCTCCCCACCTTAAATATACACAATTCTCCTGAATTACGTACCAATTAATAAACATCGAATCTCGCGATACGACTAACACAACGTCCAAATAATGTTATTTTAACGTCATACTGATAACTGGGTATTATTTGAAATTATTCCACGATGTAATAAATGTTTAATATCACTAGCACAAACGTAAGCATGCTTTTAATTCTTCTTATCTATACCAGGTAGCTGCACGTTAGAATAATCAGTTCGAAACACAATTTAATTAAACAGTTCTTTCTATAATCGAAGCAACGATGAATGTCCACTGACAGCAAATCCCGACGTAGAACGCGATGAGCGCAAAAACACTTCTCAGTTCTGTAGATTTCTTGTTAAAATATACCATAATTCTTCTGTGAAACGCGCACAATGTTTAGGTTTTTTTTTTTACACAAGTTCTATAATTTCGCAAGGAAGCGACAACGGATTTGTTATTGGTCCAACTGGTCCGATATCCAATCAGTATCATTCTCCCTATGAATAGCTGTTGCTTCCATCATTTTTATCAATGTGACATCTTGATGTTGGGTAACGTTTCCATTTACAATCTTCTTAATCATCTCTTCGTTGCAATGGCGCATCTGGCATACTTGTTTTGAACTGCTGGTTAATGGTGGTCTAGCGGAGCCAGGTAATGACAGCATTTGGTACTTGGCGATGAGGTAGGCACGGTCCCAATTTTGTGTTTGGGCTCGTTGGCTGTTAAGCTGGAAGGCCATCGTTTCAAGTGCAAACAGCTTTTGATCGGGACTAAACTGCTCCCATCCTTGAGGTGGCCAGAAAAATGGCTGTTGCGAAGCTTCTGAGTTTAGTTGGAATCTGGTAACACCTCTCCAGTCTCTTTTAGCGGGTGGTAGGATGGGCATGATACCTCTCTTGAATAACGTCAAGACTCCTTCCTTATCACTGTTTACCTTTCGTGGGTTATACTCAGATACATTGAGTGACAACGCCGGTGAAAGACTACCTGCTGGCGTGTCAAAAACAGCATCGATGTTAGTTACTAGGTTATTGGCGCTAGAAGAGGCTTTAGGAATCAGATCACGTACTACAATGGGTAATTCTTGTAAATCTTGTCGGTTGTTGTTGTTTATATCCATCACAGTGTTCTCACCCGGGAGTTCATGATGACCTAAATCTGTGGTGTCTGCGGAAAGATTTGCTGGATCGTCCGCCTCATCTGCATGTGCTGTGCTGGGGATAGAATCTGTTTCTGCAACTGGAGTACTGGAAACAGGCATCGCCAATGCCCTACTAATGTGCATGAGGAATTCAACCGGAATACCCAGCGTGCCAGATATCTGTGATTCAAGTTTCGGATCCGGTCTTGCCAAAGTTGTCATGATTTCTGGAGGTGATGTTATATTCTCCCCCGCAGCAGGCACTCTTCTGAACAAACTGGTCATGGCCTTGGTGGATAGGTTTGGCGAAATGGAGCACTTGTACCATACTGAGCGTTCCTCGTTAAGTAGGAAGGCCTCAAAACCAACGGGTTTCATGACAATGCTGTGTATGGACAGCGACGTCTCCTCTATTGATGGGTTCTCGGGATCATAGTGAACTTTCTTTGGAGGCGGGGTCCCTTCGTAATCAGGGACAAAACTGCTCTCACAGGGTATGGTAGGTGCTCTGTCTCGTTTGTTCGAAGCTGAATCCCATCCTCTTTCGAAATCTTTCAACTTGGTGCTATTCCCTCTGACGAAGTCAAACCATCCTCGCACCATTTCTCGGGCCTTTCTCGCTTCATCTGACGACCTTGCTGTATTAGAGACAATCCGTAAATAGTCGGTGGGGTTTATGGACAGCCAGAATCCGTTGCTCTCGGAAAAGAACTCTTTGGAGAGTGTGGTGAAAACCTTTGGATGGTCCCTTTGGTAATGGTCTCTCAATTCGGGAACTGACCTCCGAAACAATCTTTCTCTCGGACAAGATGGGCATACCACTCTTAACGCCCCGTGCTCTCTGTTGGCCATGTGGTTCTTCCTCTCCCGGTTCGTCTTAAAGACCATCGTGCACTTCCAACAATTGAATTTTAACTCGGTACTCATTCTGAAACAAATAATTACATAAAGCTTCCGTGGGAGAGTAGTTTAACAAAAATAAACAGGCAATCAGTCAGTCGTCAAGGATAACTGTCACGGAAGGAACCAACACTAAGATGACATAACTTGTAAATAGTGATTTTGACAACACCAGGAACTCAATAGATGTTCAGCCCAAGACCTCGTAACCATCGGGTAAATTAAAGTTGCTACCATCAGCTAAGTTAAAGTTGCTACCGTCAGCTAAATTAAAATTCCACTGTTCTTCAACAGCTACGGTTGGTTTCCTCTGGGTGATCAAGCCAGTTACTCCCAAAATCCCGTGGTACCACATTCACGCCTCCCATGGGCCTTCCGCCCTCAATAATAAAATATAAATTGGTTACTCAAAGAAAGGTTCAGAGGGTTGATACCATAAGTTCACTGTTCACTACATTTCGTTCCTCTTTATCGCATCTCGTGAATCGCTGTATCCAGTTTGGTATATTCCTTCCATGATACAAAGCCAGTTTGTCTATGTGATATACTTTCGGCGACTGCGTTCTACTTCTCTTAACCTTATAAATGACGTCGTTTATTCGTTTTGTGACCAAGAAAGGACCCTTCCAAGGCGATGTAAGCTTCGAACAGACTCCCACTTTTCGAATCGGTTCGTAAATCCACACCGGTTGACCAATAGCTAGATGTCTTCTCTGGGCACGAATGTCATAATGCTTCTTCTGGTATTCCGAGCCCCGTTTTAAGCATCTTCTCGCTACGTCGTGACTCACAGAAAGCTTCTTTTTGAGAGCTTCGATATAATCTTCACTATTTCTCAACACAGGATCGTTCTCTTCGGGTACATTGACAACAGCTTGGAGTGGCATCGTGATTTCTCTTCCCATTGTCATCATGTTCGGAGTTTGAGATGTAGTGGCGTGTACTGATGACCTATAAGCCATCATTACTTGTGGAAGAAACTCGTCCCATCGATATTTCCATTGGATTGTGGCCTTAGTGCTGTTGTTCTGGTTTTGTCAATTTGCAAAAGCGAACACATCTGTTGGAATACTTTTGATTCGAAATTAGTGCCACGGTCTGAATGGAGTTGCAGTGGTGTACCAAACCGACACACAAAGTTGTCTACGAATGCCCTCGTTACTGTTATGGCTTCCTGGTTCGGTAGTGGTACGGCCTCGGTCCATTTGGTAAAGCAATCACACATCGTCAAAACATACCGGTTTCCGCTTGATGTGTTAGGCAGTGGTCCGAATATATCGATCTCAACCCGTTCAAACGGTTCTCCAACCAAGTAACTTCGAAGAGGAGCGCGTTTTCCAGTAGGTTTAACTTTCCTCGAGGCACATTTGTCGCAGGACCTGCAATGATTCTTCACAGATTCATTCATACCCGGCCAGTAAAATCCCATCTTTATCCTCTTAAACGTCTTCTGGGTCCCAAGATGACCTGATGA